CGACTTCATCAGCCATTGGGCTGGATTTTTTGTCACCGGCTTGAAGAGCTTCTCTTGGATCAATCAGAGACTTTGCAATGTCCCTGTGATCAGCAAAATGTATTCTTCCTGTTCACCGTCTCTACAGGACGGTTTAGGTCCGTTTGGACCACCCAGAGGCAAAAATGTCGACTGCGATCTCAGAGCATTGAGATTGCACGTCGTGCCATTGCAACTTCGGCTCCTCCCTCGATATGCATCTGTTAAGGATGTTCTAATTAGTATTCCTGCACTAAGTAAAATATTGGGTTACATGTACAAAATATTAGCTTCCAACTTTATGATCTTTTAAAAACATCTTGTTAACCAAAACATTCAGGAATCAAGGACCTTTAAGAGCTCCTTAAGCACTCAGGCAATTTGTATGATATCCCTTCTTTTGCATAATGCTTACTCCCTTACTTTTTAATGACTTTAAGTCCTGCTGATGAAAGACAACTAGAAACTTGGAAGGGCAATTATTAAACAGTTGGGAATCTGTATGTTTGGCCATTGAAGGGCAGGAAAAAATCAATGCAAGAATATAATGTGTAAAAAGCTAGAAATCTGCATTTTCTTTAAACTTTTTCAGAGTATGTAGTAATACAAAAGCACTACTGAGCTGTTTCACAAATGAAAATGGAGACAAAGCAAGAGTCTTATTCCTCCAAGAGAGTAAGTCAATATAGACTGCACATATTTCACGGATTGAAATAAATGAGTGAAGGATTGTGATTACACAACTCTCATTTGGCAATAATATCTTAAACGTTTTTCCTTCATAAATTTTAAATCAGTGGTTCTTCTCATTACCATGAGATTCTCCTATACAAGGATCATTTGTCAAATGTATGATTACCAAATAAAACATTTGAAGAAATATTGTATAGTGTCATCAAAATGGAAAAATTTGTACAAAAAGGATAGTAGAAAAGGAAAACTGTTGATAGCATAAAATTAGAACTCACCAACTTGGTTAGCAGAAAAAGGCAAATTAAAATATGATTAGGGGACCAGTATAATATTCAAATTCAGACCAAGAGCTAAAGCAATTAAGGCAGAGCAATCATTATTATCCATGGTCTGGTTAACCATGGTTACTTGTGTAAACACAAATGGTTCATGGGGGTCATAAACTATGATCTGCAAACCACAACTGGAGATTTCATACATCCTGAATCAACAATATATGAATTAACGAAGAGTGAATTCTGCCCTTGAAGAAGCACAACCCCTGCTGCTAAGAAATACCGAGACATTTAATTTAACCCTGTAACATAACAACTTGACTACGTTCACACAACAGTCTAATGCAGCGTTTCTCAGATTTGGAGGCTTGAAGATGGGTGGAGTTCAATCCACAGAATCCTGGGAGTTGTGGTTTCACACATCTTGAAGCGGCCAAGATTGACAAAACACCGGTGTAGTTTGCAACCAACCAAACCACAGTTTTCTGAATTTTGACCCCCGGGATGGATCTACGGAACACACTAAGCCACAACTAAAACTGACTTTGTTTACCCAAAGGACGAACCCACAAACAGCCACGGCCACCGAGGCGTTGGGGGCCGATTCCATCCTTCCTTTGAAGGCCCCCGCAATCCCCCATCTCTATACCGGAAGCCTCCACTAGAAGACACGAAGCGCCGGGATTACGCTCCGAAGCCGCCGCAAACGCACTGGGAGGAGGAGCGCGGAAAGGCCCTTCCCTAAATCCCCAAAGGTTGGCAGGTAACAGCGCACCTGTGCAGCGCTCCATCCTTCCCGGTCATCGCGGACTGCTGCCACCACCGACCACGCCGAACGAGCCGGGGGGAAAGGCGGCAGAGACCACGCCTCCAAGCCAGGAGGGTAAGTGCGGGGCCCCGCCAGGGGGCGGCCACGAGCCCAGGCAGGCTGTCCCGCCCCCACTAGGCATGCGCAAAGGCGGGAAGCGCGCGCTAGGGGGGGGGGGCGAGGGCCAGTCCCCTCCCCCAACCCTAACTCCAGCCTGATAACCGGTAGCGCGGTATTCGCGCCACAGCCGGCGGAAAGGAGACTCCGGCGCTTAGAAAGACGAGCGGCGAGAGAAGCGGCATTCGGGTTTTTCCCGCCGCCGCCGCCGCCGCCTTTCTCCGCCCCTCAGCCGGCTGATCGGCCTCATCGTTAAAGCACGCGGAGCCGGCTGCCGCTCCTGCCGCCTACCTCGCGGGCTCCGCGGTCATGTCTCCGTCGCTGTCCCTCGCGCCCGGGCCGGGGGGCGGCCAGCTTCAAGCGCTGACAGAAAACAAAGCCGTTGGCGCCACCGACCCCGCCACCGTCGCCACTGCCGCCATCTTGTTGGCGAAAAGAGGAGGGAAGGTCCTTCCCCTCCCCCGCCTCCCCTCTTTCACTCCACGTCCCGCCATTGGCTCTCAGGGGCTGGCATCTTTTTTTCGATTGGGCAGATCACCTCGGCGCTGTTACTAGGGCGGTTGGCGTCATCACTCTTCTCTACCGCTTCCGATTGGCTGCTACGGCGGCTGTCGTCAGCTGTTGTCACGCCGCATGACATCACTTGAAAGGAGATCGGATTGCGGGAGGGGGCGAGCGCTCTCCGGCCGTCTGTCCCAATGCAAAAGGCAAAAACTCTTTGCAAGAGGTAGTTTTGATGTTACACCTGCCACAGACTGACTGTGTTGCACACCTGGTTTGACAGAGCTTAAAGCAGAGGTCTTCAAACTTTGCAACTTTAAGACTTGTGGACTTCAACTCCCAGAATTCTGAGAATTCTGGAAGTTGAAATCCACAAGTCTTAAAAGTTGCAAAGTTTGGAGTCCCCTGGCTTAATGCATCAATTCTTCTCACTTATTTTAAAACACATTATATGACTTTATTTAAAAAAAACTTCTGCATTTAACATTTTTACTGCTGAGAAAACATTCTACCATCACTAACCATCTTGTCTCCCGAAGTTGTGGGAGCTTCCTCTTGTTTTCAACAAGAGACTGGAGACTGCCCTCTCAAAAATGATGTAGGGTCTGCTTGGGTGAGAGGGTTGAACTAGATGACCTACAAGATCATCTCCAACTCCAAGGTACCTTCTTATGACATTAGTGATCCCTCTACCAAATCACCTGATTTTGATCTGCCTCGCTATATCTGGACAAAATTGAACAGAATTAGATAGGTACTGGAAGAAGTGCCTCTGCCCTGTATCAGTGAGGATGGAAAAATTCCCTCATGATTGTGATGCTGATAGGCAAACTATGAAACATATTGTGCTCTCTGGTTCCCTAGATCTGCATGAAGCAATGCTAGAGGCAAGTGCCTGGATGGCTGAATTGGACATCCAGACATACGGCCTCTGCCGCACCTCTGTAAAAGGTTTGTATGTAACTAGGGGGATTGTGTGTATATGCTTACTTCTCTTCTGTCAGGTTCTCATCATATGTTAAATAACTTAACAAAACCAAAATTGGCCAAATTCTGTCATTAATCTTTAAATTGAGGTTTATAAAGCTGAATGGTCAACATAGTCAACAAAATCATAATAGCCTTTATTTCTGTGTCACCATAGTTGATAATTACAACTATTGCAATCTGACCATCGTGATTCTTAGTTTAGTGCAACATATTCAAGAGCCAAAAGATATGTAACAATGGGCCAAAGTAAAACAAAAATGAATGATATTCAAAATACTTATATCAAGATGACGAAGGTATTTTAAAGGAAAAATATACATCACCCAGCTAACATCTAGCCAATTCCTGGTCATTATAATGGCTCCTCTCCTAACTTGAGAAAGTAAAGAATCTTGAAACGGAGTATTTCAAAAGGAACCTTTAATCAGACAGGATGGAAACTATTAGAAGCAAAGCAGCATCTGAAAACCTTTAGGCCATGCAAATGGGATTAAGCTGATAATGACCCCTCCCCTTTGTCCGAATACAGATTCTGACCAATACACAAGTGTGAAGGTGCGTCCTTAACTCTTCTGCCCTGGGAGTCAATAAAGCACACGTTCCCATGGCTATCTCTAGTTAGACATCAAAGTTATATACCCCACATGGCTATCAT